CACGATGGCCACAGCCTCGGAGCGTACATACAACAAGGGAGCCACATGAAAGAGGAGCCAAGGATCATACTTTCCTCTCATGTGAGAGGTGTTAATGACCAAGATACGCTTTGTAAGGTTAAGCGTGGTCGAGTGCGATGTAGAATAGCGGCCGAACACGCAGTCAAAGGAACCAAGGTTGAAGAGCAGCATTTGAGCCTGAAAGAACATTTTCAGGTGCCTCGCCTACCGGCGTTGATAAACATCCCCTGGAAGCATGCAACAGTTGTCACACCCACGATGATGGAAACTGGTCGACGACCAGAGTACACCTATAAAACAAGCACTGAAAGTCAAAGAGGCAGAAAAAAGCGGATTCGAAATAGTAGTCGAAGTTAGTCCAAGCAGGGTACATATGTTTGGTATATGCAAGGGGTAAAAATTGTCAGGAAAAACATCGAAACAAGAAGGAAGCATGTCTGTTGTGTGGCCAATTATTACTTTACAGAGTACTCCAGCTTCTCCATATGTGTGTGTGTGTGTGTGTGTGTGCAGTTGAACAAAGTTGCAGGAAGGATCATTTAAAATGCAGCGAAGTATAAACAGGGGACTACAAATCGTCAAAAAATGTCCTAGGGAAGTGGACGGAGGGACACAGGACGCCATCGATCCGTTTGTTGAGCATGGGATTCGCTGGGGCCACGGAAGTGGACTCTGGAAAAGAAGATAGTTAGGTCATTATAAGCACTACATTGAATTATTTTAAACACATAAGTAGGTAATAACAGCGTTAGTGGTTGGCCGGTGACTCGCTTAGTGTAGGAAACTGCGGCGATTGAAGGAGTTAGACCCCGGGACTCCCACAGTCAGAGTAGTTAAGGGCGGCAGGAGCCTATGCAAAACGGTGCTTGCCTATGGGCTATCAAGGATATTCACAGGCGACGGAGAAAAACGAAATAGGTAGGCCACCACCGCAGAAGAATCCGGAGTAGTGGATCATGTAACGGTGATACCTCCAGATGCGAGCTTTGACTACACGAGGAACAGGAAGACTTTACGCGTCACCTAGAACGGCTTCGTCGGTTGACGTCTGACACAGTCCTAAAAGCTTAAATTTGCCTGAACGAAGCAGTTTATCTAGGAATTTAGAAAACCAACTCATTCTCGGAAAGTCACGACTTAGCTGGGATTTTATTGATTGATAGAAGGGCTAGTACGGTGTGCCCTCGCTGGCTGGACCAATAGCGTTAAAAAAGCGATTTCTCGCCATACAACAATGATGATGGGGGGAAAATTAGTTGGAAACGGGAAGAAACCTCAACATGTATGGGATATAGTAATAGAACACTCATTAACAGAGAGAACAGCCACAATCCTATAGTCACAACGGAATTCGGTACCTAAAGAGGCAGTATAGGAGAAAAAAGGCTCCCTTCTATCCCCCTATAAAGAGCGAGACCGTCAAACCAAATGTCAAACAGCAGCAACGACGTGCAAAATATGGCGACCAAGGCAAGCGCGCAGTGTCTCCATGATGAATAAGCCAGAGTCCAAGGTGTTAGAAGGAAAATAGTCATAAAATGATAAAAAATTCGCGTTCCCCAGAAGTTAAAGCAAATTAGATAAAGAAAGACACACAATAAAACTTAGTAGCAGACTTTAACTTATCCATAGCAGACGACCTAGTGACCAGGTGCTGGAGGATACACTCAATAATTATTCTAGGAGTTATTAGACTTGGCAG